ATTTTGCCGTTTCGAATGCAATTGATCCCTCGATAGTGCGTTCTAATTTATCAAAAGCTTCCTCTCTCGAAGGGAGTTGCCGCAGTCAAGGTTGTTAGTGTAACGGTGCGAAACGTAGTTCCTTTTTTTTATTTTTAATGCAACTGAAAAACATTGCGATTGTGACGATGAATGAGTGGTCGATCGAACTCCGGTGATTGTTTCAAAGGAGTGAATGAGACCTACACTTGGCGTGCTTGTCTTTCCGCTTAGCGAGAGAGATATCTTTGTCTCTGCGCTTATCTTAATTCTTTTATCTTTCAGCTAGTAGCCAAGCGAACCGGCTATCGATGTCTATTTCCGGTCGACCAGTAAATAAGAACAATTAGCTATGTTGATCGGCCAGAGGTGTTTAATAGTAGTAATAATTGGCGCTAAAAAAATCACGTCGGAAGTTGAAGTGATATTGAACATTGTCAAGGTCGAAACCCTCAGTAGTATCCGTGCTTAAAAAAAAATTTTTAAACTATTGATACAAATATAAATGAGGCATTTGAGAGAACAGCGTTATTTTATTTGATGAATAAGTGGTATCAAAGTGTGATTAGTTACAATCTTACAATTGGCATTTCATTTAAATTACACGGACGCCCGAGCAATCAATTAGCGAACCGCTGATCGCACAGAAAAAATTATATTTCTTTGTAAACACGCATGCATGAATCACGTACTATCATCAAATTCCGATGTAACTCGATATGGACACATCGATTCGGCAATTGCCGCTAATTCCATGTAATCATTTGTACGACGCTTAGAGAGGCAATTTTCTTTTTTTTTTTTGCTCCTCCCGGAGGCGGTTAACAGACGCTTGCCGTCTTTCGTTTCTTTTCTTTTTTTCTCGTTTGACATGAGAGAGAAAGAAGAGAGGAGGCACCAAGGTGGTCCAAAAGGCAAGGGCACGAGGAAGTCGGCCGAGAGAGCGGCTATTCTCTGTCTCGTCTGCATCGCGTCGCATGGGCTACCGGCCAAGCAGCTGCCACGGGCAACGAGCTGCAGGTACACATCACCTCGGCCGTTCACGATCTTTTTATCTTGGGCACGCGCATGCCGGTTACGTCGCCGCTCCTTAATAGACACGTAAAAATAGACGCGGAACACATGGCTGACGCGTTTTTCTTGCCGCGATGCGGTTCGCCGATATCGCCTTTTCCCTTTTTTCTTTTTCTCCGCAAAACCTCACACCGTCGAAACACGTCGCGTTTACGCGTACCGACCGAGCAGCGTCACCAAGGCGAGTCAACGCGTATCTTCGGTCACGGTCAACGATTCAACTTTATTATCCTTGCCTGCGGAAACTGCGTCTCGCATGCGTCCTCTCCTTTATTAACTTTATCCGCCCTGCCGAGGCTTTTGCTCCGTGGATGTAAGGCGAAACGGCTAATATTTCTAAGCTTAATTGCATCCGATTTTCCGGCTCTTTGGAAATCGCCGAGAGGACGTTGCTCATCGTGCCATCTGTTGCCGCGCGGCACAGCGTGGGTCGCGAAGCGAGCGAATCCAAGCAGTGTCTGCAACGTTCACCTGGACTCTCGTTCTACGGTCCACTGCCGAATGAGAAGCAGATAAAGACCGAGATACAATGCTCTTTTTTCCCCCCTTGCCCTATACGCTCGAGACCCGCCGCTGTCTGGTTCTCGCTCTTCTGCTCATTTATTTTTCGGCCTGTGGATTTTACACTCCTCTCGCTCGTTACACACTATACCTGCTTGCGTTTTCGTTGTTGCGAGAGATTCGCAATGGCTATTTTGTCGGGTTCATTGCGGAAAATAATACGAAACGAAGGTGTTTGCGTATGCTGGCGAAAGAGGAATTCATTCGCTTCTTGAATATGCACTTGTCGAATGGCTTCTGCTTTTGTTTCCGGTTCGTATAGAGGAATGATATCGCACATTTTATCAACAATATTTACCCAACTTTCGAAAACGTTCAATTAAAATCGAACAGTTTTAATTATTATTGCCGGAAATATTTATAAACAGTAATGAAAGGGTAGAATCAATTTTCTAAAAGCAAAAATAAATCAAAAGTACAGGGAACTCACAATTAGCCAGAAACCCGCGAAAATACCTACACCGTCGACGAGCGAAAGAAAAGAGAACAATCAACAGGAGCATAACGAATCTGCGCGCATGCGGCAGCGTTAGGAGGCACACGCCCACGAACTTCATTCTCTGCCAGGCAAAAACTCATATGGCGCTACCAGGACCTATCTCTCTCTCTCTCTCCCTCCCTCCTTCTCTCGTTCACCTGGACACACTCACGCACACACGCGGACTCTTCCGGCCGGTTTCTGCAGCGGCGTCGCGACGATGTGGCCGTGGCCTTTCTTCGATACTCTCCCCATTCAATCTCGTGCTCGCGCGCATCTCGTTTTTTTCTTTAAAGCCCGGTGGGTTTTGAGTTTCCTTTGGGCCGCAGACGATCATTGTCGCGCGCGCACGCTACTTTTCCACGAAAATCCATATATTGTCACCCTAACCTCCTCAGCCGTTGTTATTTATGGATGCTGGAACAGTGCACGATTTTTCGCAGCGCGTCGTACAGTGTTTTGAGCCTCACTAATTCGAGTGCTAGATTATTAGAAGGCTACCGATTTTTATCGTCATTTACTTAGATTATACGGTAGACCTTTGTAAAATTAATGTTTTCATGTATATGTTCTTACACTTTTTATTGCGAAAGTATCGAATGGGTTACTACACGAGTAAAGAATTATTGTCAATGCTAAATATGGTGACTCAACCTGCGTTGATAACCAAGTCTATACTGATAAATATCGCTGCTTACGTACGCTAGAGAGAAAAAAATCTTGAGTATGTTTTATCGCTGCGAGAATATCGCCGTTACTGTGGACAAGTGTTTATGTTATTATTCACAATCGCATAATTGAAATCGTATCATTCGAAGTGAAAGATTGAAAAATAGTGTCGAAACAAAGGATATTTTAATCAAATTATAGAAGATGAAAAATATCTACTTTTGTCAAAGAAACATAGGTAATCACTCGAAAATCTAGATCAAGCTAAAGTGTATTCCAAAAACATTTTGAAAAATCGAACGTCAACATTCTTTCGTAACTTGATTCCCAAAAACTTCCGCTCATCTCATCACTTGTTCGTTGGAAAAAAGAAACCAGCGAGTGTAGTTTCTTATGACACGATTTCGACACCGAACGAGGAATTCGCGAACGCTGCTTCTTAATAAACGCGCTCTCGGCGTGTTGGGGTCATTACACCTCTCGACCACTCTCTCTCTCTCTCTTGCAGTATATATGTGTGTATGCGCGCGCGCACACACAATTACTCGACGTGCGCGGCTCCTGCGAGAGAGCTAATGAGGCGCAGGAGGGAAAAAAAGCCTAATATTGTCAGCTGCGATGTGATACGGCTCAATCGCCTCGACTCGACGTCGCCTTCGATTTCGATTGATCTCCTCCATGACTTCTAATGTCATTCGAAAAGTTTTTGTTTGTTGAGTATTTTTTATTCCGGAAGCTTCTTATACGGCACATAGCGTTGTTTACAAGAACACAATAGAATGTTGCGACGTTTCTCTCATACTGCGTGCCAAATACTTTTTAGGACGCTACCATTTTTTATTCTGTACTCGACGGGAGATTCATTATGTGCGCGATGAAAACGCACGCTGATGCTTTCCTCCAGTTTTTTACGATCTCATTCAGCTAATGAAAGAGCTCACGCGCGCTTTTTTTTTTTCTTTTTGTTCTTTACGTAAAGAGCGCTCGTTTACGTAAAATTATTGTTACCGTTGTTATTTTGCATGGATAATACCAATTCTATTCTCGTGTGTATTTAAACAGTTTTTGTCAAATGAGGAAAAGAAGAGTAGAAAACTTGCGACATGTAACGCAAATAGTGTAAGTCGGCACGAGCATATCAGTCAAAGTAAATTTGTCGTTATCTCCATTTGTCTTGATAATCAAAGTTACTTCGCGAGCAGCACTGTTAGTCGCGTTTTCGAATAAATATATGTGCGCCTTTTTTATCGACTTCAGTAACCGATGCTTTGCAGTTTTTTCATTCAAATATTGCCGTACGTATTTTTCAATGGGTGAAAGACTTTACTTCCTGAAATTGTTATTCGATTCCCCCGTCGTGATTTACCGTATCGTATTTTTACGACTGCGATTTGATATCGTTTCATCGCCAAAATCGATAAGCCATAACTGCTTATTCAGGGATGAATTGTTCTTTAGAAGATACTACTGATTGTTCACCGGTTGTAATTGACAAATTACGGTTTTCAATAAACTAAATCAAACGATCGTAATCATATTTGATTCACTTTCGAAAATCAAAAATATAAGTGAATCTAAATAGGGCAAATTCTTCTTGAAGTCAAAACAATATAATCGAGGAAGACTCAAATTCTAGTCACCATAAAGAACACAATGTTCGGAATTCACGTGCGTTTTCTTCTTCTGTAAGCGAATAGAAACAATCGTGATAACCTGGCCTGCTTTTCGAAGCCAAAAATAGAAGTGTTTTGAAATATCTGGAATTCTCATAACTGAAATATAAGTCAAAAAGCAAATTTAAAACGCCGTAGAGAACATAACACTGAAGTAAAAGAAAAGAATTTTTTCTTTCGAGTTTTACTGTTGTGAAAAAGATAATTCAACGATCGATCGCCTACGAAAAATCTAATTATCAAGCATGATTCGTGACTTTCCACCGGTAGTTTGGTGAAACGCTGTAAGCGAGTGAACCTGTACACGCGTTGCGAGATACGCGCAAGAGTGTAATTGAGATTTTCCTTGGAGCCGCGCGGATGACCGGCACATTTCAAGCTCGCCTGGCTAGATTTTATTAAAGATTGCCCACTGGAATGGCAATTGCCGAGTATTTACCCAACGCCTCGAGTTCAATCAACCGCTCGAAGAATTCACTCCACTTATACGCGGCATAGACGAAAAACGTGATAGAGCTTTTTTTTACCTTGAGCAAAGCAGAGGAGCGCAAGGCCTACGACGATCCAGTGTGAATTCATCCCGGCACCGGAGAGCAGAAAAATAGCTAGAGCACTTTGTAAAAAGATGTGGCACTGGCACACGAATGAGAGTTCTAACGCGAAACACAACACGCGATTCGCTGCCCGGCTTACGGAATTTTTCCTTTTGCTTTTTTAGGGAATAGCGGTGTGATAGAAATAAGGCTGCGCAACGTCGAGCCGCGATGTTCAAACTGAGAGCGCGAGCGAACTGCCGCCGCCGCGAGCGCTGCCGCTGCCGCCGCCGAGCTTAAAAAGAAGAAGGGAGGAGTAGGGCGGCGAGCAACACGATGAGTAACCGGCCACTACCGCACACATATCCAAACGATATTACATATATATAGAGGGGGAGAGAAATAGTCGCGTTGAGCTGCCGGCTAGACTCGTGATCGTGTGCAAACCCGTAAAACCCGCGAGCCTGAGTATGTTGGAGTGCGTATGTATAGATGTGGATTTGATTCTTTATCTTTCTTTTTTAGGATGGTGTCGGTCTGATGGCTGTTCGCTGAAATCTTTGCGTGTTTTTTGCGGAAATACGTATAAATAAGGGGCCCTGTGTGACTAGAATAGAACACCTGTTTACATTTTATTTTTTCGTTATATATAACGACCCTATATCTTTTTATGCATACAGTATTACATTTTGATTTACCATTAATAATATTACAGTACAAGTAGCAATAACGAGGCTTAAAGTTCGGGTTAAAATTGCCGTGATATCATCGACGAAGTTAGTTGAAGTGTCTATCTTTGTTGACAGCAGTCTGCCAATTCTTTTTTCGGTGGAGAAAAAAAGCACAGCTGTCAATTTAATTAGCTAAGGCTCGATTTATAAAATCAATCGATCCAACTTAACAATAGAAAAACTATTAAAAAATCACGGTGACCAGCAAAGTCAACAAGCATATCCCGCGCATAAATGTTCGCACAAAACGCCAAAGATCCATCGGTATACATATACCTTTCAGTAACTAAAACTTTTGATTATTCCTTACGCGTTGCATTATCAGTTTACAGAACACCGCTTCCACGTACGCATTTTAGTACGTGTGCTTTTACACGACAAAAGAAAAAGCCATATACCTCCTACTCCCTGTAGAAGCCCACACTGGTTACATTACTTATATTATATCGGCAGAGTTCCAATGCAACATCGTGCTCTTTTTTGTAGTCTCTCACTCGCCCACGTAGTTTATTGTGAGTGTCACGCGAATATACGAGTTTACACGGAGTCGTTAATATATTGAATCGACGATTGGGTCTTTTTGTTCTTTTTGATTAGAGGAATCCGTGCGAAGGACGTATACATAGAGATACTAATCAATATGTAATTGCTTTCGAAATTCATTTTCTATCAAGGATACAAATTATCAAAATTGATTTTCAAACAGTTGAATCAAACATTTACCGTTGATTATCTAAATAAATTAAATTAATGTTAGAAATGAGCATTTGCACAGCTAAGAGTACTTGAGAGACGAGCCTTATAACGATATTCATGAGAACGAGTGAAAGTAGTAAAACGATGCCAAGGGAAAGGGCTTGAGGGGAAAAATAAACTTGATGCAATTAGCCAACGTTTGCGCGGCTTATCAAGCGGAAAGAGTAGTAGTGGAGTTTTTATTGCGTGCGTGCTTATTTACTCTCTTTCTTATATTTCTCACGCTCGTTAATCCACGTACAATCCACACATACGTAAATTTGCACTTGCTGAAATTTATATATTTTGTTAGATAAACAGATGCGGTAGACTATATAAGAATCGCGAGAAGCCTTTAGATTTGAGTTTATAATTTATTTGTCTAATACACACAAGAGATTATTAATTCATCTAGAAATGATAGAAATAGGTCATCATTGGAAACAATAATGCATTTGTGTCATGTTTACGTAACGACGGAAACGTAGTTAAAAACAAACCACACACGGTTATGTTTGATCTTCACATCCGCCAGGTGAAAAATATAGCAAGTGCAACGTGTATATGGGTTGAGTTTTATTATTCCGAGATAACACTTATAGAATCTTCGTTTCTGTTTCAAGGAAAGTTAAATGTATTTTTTTTTCTATTCCCGGCCGTTATCAGAACTGCTTTATTGGTCATTATTATAACAAATAGATATTTTAGAATTAATTTGATAAATGTAACTATAGTAAATAAAATTAATTTTTTAAATTTGACATTTTATCAAATATGCTAATTTATTATTTATTTATCAAGAAAGTAAATTGAGAGAGGTAAAAAAAATAGAAAGTTATTTATTTCATATACTCGTCGAGATGATGAACTTGCTAAATTGAAAATTTTTAAATAACTGTTTTATCACTACAGTGACATCTTCCGGTCAAAGTACAAATGAAATTGCTGCCTTTTTATCAACCGAATACACGCGTGGTTCCATGCGTTTCATTACACGGTGTTTGGACTATAGTATGGCTATAGTAATAGTGCTTTTGTTAACGTGGTAAACGTAAATCAGAGATTATGTCGGTGTACTATAGTCATGTTTGAAAGTTGAATATTGTTAAAATAATTTTCTAAATAATTACACAAGTATTTATATTGCAGAATGTTTGTTTCAAGTAATTATTGAAACAAGCTTATTAGTTATAAATTGAGCTGAATGTAAATAACCTCTAAGATATTATAAAATAAATTTTTTTCTAGCTAGTTATTTATGATTAGCTGTATGTACATAAATATAAGAAGCAAATTTATATTATAAGAACCCAAAATGACTGCCTCAATCAGTGGAAAAAATTTACTTGCTCCAACTGGGCTACAATGCAAAAACTTGCATGAATATCTCAAATCTAGATCTTCTGAAATGCTAAATAGACTGTACAACAATCCTCCAATTTGCCTCGCAGTTTACAGAGAGCTGCCGGAAATTGCAAGGCACTACATTATGAGATTACTGTTTATTGAACAAACAATTCCCCAAGCTATGATTGCTTCTTGGTGTTCTAAACTCAATAACAGTGATCATGAAAATGTAGTACAAGTTATGAATGAACTGCATATTTGGAAAGAAGCCCCTATTCCGGGAGGTATGCCTGGATGGGTACTCAATTCCACTTTTAGGAAAAATTTGAAAATTGTATTGTTAGGAGGAGGTATTCCATGGACAATGTCTAACAATCTTGAATCTGACAGTAAACCTAGAGATGTAGCATTTCTTGATTCTTATGCTTTGGAAAGGTGGGAATGCGTTTTACATTATATGGTTGGATCACAACAACAAGAAGGTATTTATTTTTTACTAATATGTTTTTAGTTTACTTGAAAAATGAAAATTTCATTTATTCAAATACTTTATTTCAAAAAATTATATTAGGTATATCAGCTGATGCTGTCAGAATTTTGTTACATGCTGGGTTGATGAAACGGGATGAAGCAGATGGTAGTCCTGTTATAACACAAGCAGGCTTTCAATTTTTATTATTAGATACTGCAGCTCAGGTCAGAAATAATTTTATTCTTGTAAATTTCGTTATTACTAAAAAAACTAAAATAACTATTGTTTCTAAAATAGGTTTGGTATTTTATTCTTCAGTATTTGGATACTGTTGAAGCAAGAGGGCTACATTTAGTAGAATGTTTAACATTTCTTTTCCAATTAAATTTCTCTACACTTGGAAAGGATTATAGTACACAAGGTATGTCAGAAGGGCTATTAACATTTTTGCAACATCTTAGAGAATTTGGTCTGGTTTACCAAAGAAAAAGGAAAGCTGGAAGGTATGCATAAAAATGAATTATTATTTTTGAAAAAGTCCTCTGATCTTCAAATGAAGTTGATAATTGTTTTGATATTTATAACAGATTTTATCCAACAAGACTTGCTCTAAATATTGCTACAGGGCAGAATAAACCAATATCAAGAGACTTAGAAAAAGAACGTTACATTGTTGTTGAAACAAACTACAGGGTATATGCTTACACAAATTCTAACTTACAAGTGGCTCTGATAGGATTATTTTGTGAACTGTTATATAGGTACAAAAACATTTGGCTAAATGCAATAATTTGAAACTATAATCTGTTTTTCTAAATACAATTTTTTTATAGGTTTCCAAATCTGGTAGTAGCAATCCTAACCAGAGATTCAGTTCGCCAAGCTTTGAAGAGTGGCATTACTGCTGCTCAAATAGTTGGATATCTAAATCAACATGCACATAATAAAATGATTGAGAATGGGCCTCCAGTTTTGCCACCAACTATTGTTGATCAAATCAAGTTGTGGGAAAATGAGAGAAACCGATTTATATTTAATGAAGGAGTTTTGTACAGTCAGTTTCATTCTCAAACAGATTTTCAAGTACTTAGGGACCATGCTCTTTCCATGGGTGTCCTGATCTGGCAAAATGACAGGTATATTATTTTTATATAATATTTACAATATTTAGCTAATAATACTAGGTGGATTGGATTCCATCTTAAACTGTAAGCCCAGTCATGATGCATGTAAAAAACCTCTCTTGCCATTCTAAAAGTAGTAGGGAAAGTAAGTTTACATGCTAATGATTATAGGGAATCAAGACTAAAGTATACAGGTATCTAGTGTACCTCTGCAGCATTTTACATGAACGTAATTCTTAAAGTAAAGATAAAAATAATAATCTTTTTTTTTTCAGAAAAAGGACTATTGTTGTTACAAAAGCTGGATACGATGAAATTAAAAGGTTTTGGAAGCGCTATTCAAAGGGAGCTAATTAGAAAATTATCATTTGTTTATATGTGAATACATTTGTTTTCTATTTAATTATGATATTACCTATAATTTAATTTTAAGAAATAATTTTAATCTAATGGAATTATAATTTAAAAAATCTTTTAGTTAAGATTTTCAAATTTAAAAATAATTTTTGTACAATCCGAAAAAATCTTTTTTGTAAGTGTGATTATTTTAATGGAAATACCCATATTTTCTTATAAAATAATAATTTATTTTCATATAAAATTGTACTTTAATCACGTCATATGCAATTGGCTAATTGAAAGCTTATATTTCAATACTTAAAACATTCACTGAATGCCTTAAAATTTCTAAATATATCTGAAATGGTCTTAGCGTTGAGGGGCAGCTTTAGGTTTTGGCATTTTGTTTAACAGAGCTTGAATCTCTTTCTTTTCATCATAAATTTTCCAAAGTTCATACAAATTGATTATATACCTAGCGATTTCTTGAATTTTGTCCATATCAGCATTTAGTTCAGCAAACCATGATTTGAGATCTTTTTGTAATATCACACAAGCTATTTGAAGACAGCCTATAGAAATATGTATAAATATATAATAATACATAAAATTGTGTAAAAATTATTACATCTTTAAAAAGTTATTTTAAATAGAACTTACCAATTGCTATTTGATATGGAGGATAAAGTAAACAAACATCAGTTCTTAGACTATCATTAATTATACGCCATGCCAAAGTAAGTAACTGATCGTCAGGACCAACATCTTGGATTAATGTAAGTAGTGGGCGATATGGTTGATAAACGATAAGACAACAATCAAGATGTTCTAATAAATAAAATTCACACTCCAAAATATGGTTTGTTCTATATGGAAATTCTTGGGCATAAGCATAGCCAAACTTGCTTTTAACTAGAATCAACATGTTTTTTTAGAGAATAATAAGTAAATAAATATTATATTTCTGCTTTTATGATACTTACTAACTGTTTGACATATTGTCAGTAATCTAGAATTAGAAATGACACCAAATTCTTCAACTTTTGAGGCTAAGAAAACAGAGGTTGGAGCCAATAGCAATGGATCAATGCATTTCAAGCTGTTACGAGCATAAAATCTTTTGAAGTAAACTGTAGCTGTTGCAATTACTTGTTGTCGCAACTTCAGGTGTTCACCAAGAACTTGAATCACTGAAATATTCCATAATTTTACTACTCAATATTTAAAAGCATAACATACACTACTTGTAATTTTAATATCATAATTAAAATGATAATTTTACTTACAGTTAGCAAAGAATATAAACAATTTTTGATACTCGTCTTCAGATAAAATAGACAAATCATGTTGTCGTTCTCTAGTTAAATCTTGCTTATCTAACAGCCATTGTTGACTAAAATAGAAATAAGAATAAAATTATAGAATAAAACATACTAATAATAATTGCACTGATCTACTGTAGACATATAAAAACAAAAAATTACGTACTGATGTGAACTTTGCCAGAAATTACCAGCCATTATTAGTCTTTATTCTTTTTAAATCTGAATTTGAACAGTCGACGAAAATTAATTAGCATTTCATTGGAAAAGTTTGTTCATACACTTATCAAACTCATGATATATTTTTCCGTATTTATTTTACGTAGGTCTGGTTTTATGATTAAAATTCCGCTTCGCGAAATGGTATAACCTAATATATATGTAATAACAATATAATACATATATTACACACAGTATACCGCAACAAGCAACAATGTTTTATGGTTTTAGTAGAGATAGAGGACGAGGGTAAGTCTAAAGAGCATGGGCTAACTTTGAATAAAAATAAACTTAGATAGACGCTAAGCATCTATCGATTCTTAAATTCCTTGGTAAAGATCAAGTGGCCGATACAATGACGCTCCTAGCGGCGAGTGGTGTAAGGTCTTTCGAGAATTTAGTATTTTACGTGTAGATGTATTCAGGTCCAGGCCGAGGAAGTATTATTAGTAAATCTGTTTACTATTGAGATTTATTTGAATGGTCGAACTAATTAAATAATAAATTTGTAATTGGGGAGTGTGTTTGGAAAAACCCCGAAAGAGAGCGCGGTATTGTGCGCGAAAGATAATTTCTGGGAAAACTCAGGCGCCGGCGGCTCAGTTTTACAAATACCTGCTCGGAGTCGGGCGAAAGAGCGAGAGAGTAACGACCATAGAAACAAGAAGAAAACGTGTGACAATTATAAGCACAAACAAAATCCACAGGACGTCCTGGCGCGTGAGAATTGAGAATTGACTCGGTTGTCAATTACTCAATTTTCACGTGTTACGGGCTTGATAAATTTCCCGGCCGTGGTGTGTATGAGTAGATTACGTACCTAGGCCAGAAAAGTATTGATAGGTCCATAAAATATAAGAATTGTTAAATGTGTGCTATGCACTTGTTAATTTTCTAACCATGCTTTATACTATTTTTCGACACTCCGCGCGGAAAATACGTTTTTCCCGCACGCTCGGCAAAAAACGTGCGTTGAAAGTCTCACTTTCCATACGTCGTATCCAAAAATACGGTACGGCACATGTTCGGGAAAGAATTTCTCGTCACTTCACTCCGGCGTAAACGCCACACGAGACAAGAATCTACTTTCCCGCACTTGTATTGTAATGTACTATTTTTGTCTAATGATCTGGATGTACTAATTAAGTATAGTGCCTTTCCCGGACGTGACTCAAACAATAGTATACCACCCGTAGCTACGCTGTGGGTACTTCAATACTTTTATGGCCTTAGGTTGTAATCTTCTATTGTATGCTTTATTGCATGATTTACTGCCAGGTCAGAAAAATATCTGTACCAAGATTATAAAACGAAATAGTATTCCAATTTCAATTATACAAATTTCTTCACTCAACTTGACTATAGTATGCATTATCAGTACATCCAAATTTTTAAATATTTTCAAAATTGTTATGCTAATTGAATTTTCTTTAAACAAGTATTCAATTTTCAATAGCACATCTTTATTGAATTAAATAAAGTTATAGTTTTTAATAATATAATTCTTCGAAATCCTCAAAACTAATTTATTTGCTTTAAAATATTTTAAATAGAAAATTGTAATGTTATTATAGTTTCTAATTTAAAAACTAACTATGCATTTATTTATTTTTCATGATTCACTAAAGTGCTATAGTTATCAAATTTTACAATGTTTAAACCTCGTATTTTGATTTGTATCAATTATTATTGTCATTAATTTTCATCGTTCTAGCAACTAACGAAAATACCAGAAGGGTAATCAAAAGAATGATGGTTATTATTTATTTAGAGTGCAAAGAGGCAGTCAAAAATTAATAATTAGAATAGCTGATTACATATTAAGATAGCATAATATAAAATAAAAATTAATTTCCATTATACGCAATTGGCACCTATATTAGTGTTTGATTGAACGTAATGAACAATTTCGTAGCTTTCAGAGCATCAAACTAACTAGATTTTGTATAAAAAAACATTATTATAAAATTAATGTCGTAAAGAAAACATTCTGTTTCATATTTTTATTATTCAAAGCAAACTCGAAGTCGAAATTCAAATTCTGTCCGTAAATATTTGTTATAATAGTCGGTGGAGTAGAATTTTTGTCATGAAAAGAACCAAGTAAAATTCTCAGTGAAATTAGACGAAGTCATCATTTAGAATGATGTTTAAACAATAAAAAGCCAAAAATATATCAAATTATTTTACGTCCGATATATTACAACACTTAGATTATTTTGCAAAGTTAAAAAGTTAACAATAATTTAGCTATTTGGCACAGAACTGTGAAAGACGTTTGATAATTCTAAGAGTCATGGATCGGAAAATGACTCTCTACTATCAACAAGATTGATGGAATTTTTCAGAAGGATATAGCATCGATCAGGCCCATACATTTTGGCTTTATTCAAGTCATTGACAAAAAATAACGTGAACCTTGCTGTCGCCATTCCTACACCGCAGATTCCTATTAAGATCTAAAAGAGAACACGTCGGTCTGTCTTATAACAAATCCTTTCTTTATTTTCTTAAAAGAAGAGAATTTTAAAAAGTGAAGTCTTGACTGATTCTGATCGGTCAATTAGAGATAATTACCAACTTATGTGTCCGTAATGTATGAAAAGTGAATATTTTAGCAGAACCTACGGGAAAAAAGTGAAAATTTGAACTATTTAATGTTCCATATTTTAAATTGGGAGATCAACGACACAAATACTCACGTCCTTTGTTTCAAAACAAATATTGACAAAGCAATAGAATGCGTTCGTGACAATCGTTAAATTAAAATTAACTCATACGTTATGAAACAAAATTCAGACATCACGGTCACCATAGCTCATGATGGAAACGAACCTGTTTATATATACAAATTTGACTACAAGTAAAAAGTAAAACAAGTTTTAACAACCTCTTCACGTGCATAGTAGCAACCCACTGAAAAGGTTTCAAACGCAAACATCGGGACTATATTAGGCATATTGAATGGAATGAGTAACTTCATTAAAAATATTGGCAAGTTTCTAACAATTTCGTATACGGTCATGACCAAAGCTTACGGATTAGTAAAAATACACAAGATTGGTTTTCCTTTATGCCCAATTATCTTAGTACATAGTATAATTTCCTTAGTAACTGTTCGCTTTACATGCTATCTAAAATCATATGTCGTGAATTAAAATAAAAGAATAGAACCTAAACTATCTCAAGTGAAAAATAGTCGTGAATTTGTTCACAAGCTTGCCAAAGTAATACTAAAAATCTGATGATGTATTTTTGTCGTTAGATATTATATCATTGTTTACAAATGTGTCATGCAGTCTAATCATGACAAGTGTCAATTGCAGATTTGATCAGATTAGACTTAAGGTTTGGAAAATTCCGTTTAATGACCTAATTATGCGTGTAAAGTTTCTTTAGAGCAATATCTATTTCATATTTGACGGACAATATTATAAATTAACTGAAAGGCACGTCTATGGGGTTCACCGCTCTCCCCACTGTTCGCATACATTGTAATATATGTTCTTGAGACGGAATTGAGACGGCGGCTAATCTTGGGAAAAAATGCTTAACTCGTTTGAAGGAAGATCATAATTGCCTTATTCCAAATTGTATATTAGATATGTTGACGATGAATTCTTAATCTTTCAAAAACATCAAGCAGAGGCAGTCTTGCAGGTTTTTAATGATTATGATAAAAATTGGAAACTCACTAGAAAGATGGAAACAATAAAATATTTAACTTTTTAGATATGACAATCATAAAAGAAGGTTAAAAAATAATATCCAATTGGTATCAAAAACCAACAGCTTTCGTACGCTTGATAAATTTCTTATCAAATCATTACCTGCGTATAAGAAAAACATATTTTACAATTTGGTTGACCAAGCCTTTTTATTATCAGAGAACTTTCTTCAAGATGAAAATATCAACGCAATTATTAATATTTTATATATTATAACAATTATCTGGATTTATTGAAAAACATAAATATATGGATTACAAAATTAGGCTATATCGATAAAACAAATCAATTAAATAAGTCAAAATAGCTTCCCACCAATGATGAACGTCGATATTCCATATCATTCACATTATCATGCTATTGCTGCACATCTGAAATCATATGACATTCGTGCTGCCTCGTTAATTAATAAAACAATGTCATCCGTTGTGAAATTGAGAAAAAATGTCACAAAAAATGGACAGAATCAACTTTGTAGATAAATTATGCTGCGAGGATTGCGATGGTGATGATAATAATGATGATGATATAGGTTAAACGAAACGCGCTTAAAAAATCCGAGTCGACGAACGCAAAAAAAATGTGATAGATTGCCGTTGTGCTAAACATGCACATATATTACATGAAAATATTTAATGATAAGTTAAATTGAAATAATTTGCGAGCTACCGACTCTGAGTGCTACTAGAAAAGACAATTGATTTCCTAAATAATAAACATCAAATGTTACCCTACTAGTATTAATAAGAAAGATGACATTAGAGTTAATTATAATAATATGTATAATCCACTAATCCTATTCATAAGAAGGGGATGCAAAGAGTAGGTAATATGCCGATTGTACTACGAAATTTCAGCTAGTTGACAAACTCATTTTGAAATGACAAGACGGTTTTCATACTGTTGATTTGTGTAAGTTAAAAATTTAAATATGTTATTAATGTACTTCGTTTATTATTTTGTTGTTTATTCTAATTTTTTGTGTGCTTTAATAAAGCATTTCTGATGAGGGTGGCATATCTGGTCACCGAAACGTCAAAATATAATACAACGTATTAATCTGCAATGATCGAATATTATATTTATTTTACAAACAAATTCGGTTGAATAAAATATGAACGCCACGCGTCTTAATATTAGTTTTTTGTTATTGTAAAAAATCTTTGTTATAAAGATACCGTTAGTGTAGGACAAGGGGAGCATAAAGTAATGAAAATTTTATTGTTTTTCCTATTATATTTTAGTAACGGTTCAAGTTATTGAAACCAAAACTACTTAATAACCATTGGAAAACTGTACTTTCAAAGTATTCGTATAAAAAAATGATTGTATTGATTTTTTTTCAAAGTTATTCTTTTGATTATAAAATAGATTATGTACCTAGATCGGAAAAGTATTGGTCAGTCAATAATACATACGTGAAAATTAATAAATATCAGGCGAAGCCGAGGCCGCAGCTCGGTCGGTAACATGCTAATTTTGGCCTCGCTGAGCAAAAAAATAGCATACGCATCACGACCGGGAAATTGGCAAGACCGTAGCACGTGTATGATAGCCTCGGCTTCGCCTCGGTTGTCAATTCTCCTGTGCTACAGACTTATCAATGCGTCCCCAACCTAGGTACGCAATCTATTATTAAAAATCGTGTACTTTTCTAACAGAACTTTATGATTAAATATATGGCGGTAAACGTTTGTTACTTGTATAAAGTAAACACTCTTCATGTAAGCCATATCGTACAACCAATGGATAAAATCAATTATATTTTACGCGAAAAAGTAATACCTGGAGAACACGTATTACAAGTCTTTAAAGTAATGTTAATTTGCCCTGGAAAAAAATAGTACCAGGTCGGAAAAGTATTGGCAAATTTGTAGCACGTGAAAATTAACTACCGAGGCGAAACCTCTATTTCTACTATTTACGATAGCCTTTTGAATCGATCGACGTAGGATGTTATTTTATTTGCTGAGTATATCAAGGGATATTATTGATAGACATATGACACACGATAGGACCTACATTAAAATAGCTAGAGAGAAAACCACATGTTTTAAAAGTTAACTAAGCTAAAGGCTTTACTTCTTTTTCAAAACTATAAATGTTTGTCGCAACATGTTTAATCTTAAATTTTCATGAAAAAGCGTATAAGTTAGGTTTTTATAGCCCGAATTTCACCTAACTAAACGAGAATAATATATTTGGAGAATTTAACCGAAAAAGTGAAATTTTCAGTAGTCATAATTTTATGTTTTGATAAAACTTTTGTGCGCTTAAAATTTTTATAAGTATCGTTATTTTCCCGATTTTCAACTTTATATAGACTTCTTAGATGCTGAGTAATAAGCATTTGAAAATCGTGTTGTTTCACGTCAATTTTTCAGTATATAATTTTTTATTGAAATGGCAAATATCGACACAAGAAAAATTTGAATGTTCAAGTACATTTTCTTATTGGCCATGGCCTAAACAACAATAAAAAACTGTTCTAGAAACTTTAATAACAAAAATTCGCGATTCTGAAACTTGAAAAAATTGCATTTTTTCGTTTATAGATGTACAAAATTCAGTTGTTGGTTAACTTTTTCACTTCTAACGAAAACATCCTCTTTTTTTCTTCTTGTAGTTTTCGTACAATCTCCTTTTCTACAGATGAATACGCGAATGTAATTACAAAAAGCGCGTCACTTGCGATCGCCTTGGCTCAACCATAGATTGATTGCGTATTGCATACTACTAGAACCATCGGAACAGGCGCAAATGCAAATTTGCGTTGATAGAGGGAGTAGGTAACCGAGGTTTTTTACTAATCATCCGAAATGCTTTCATCTTTTAGAGACTGCACTGCAAATTTTCACTACTGAAATCTTTATTACTCATTGCGGAATAGCGTCATTACATTGACGCGAGGATAAATGCAAGTCAGTCAATAGAGAGATTAAACAACAACTGAACGTTCAGAATGGTTCTCTTTTTGTCAGCGCATTATAAAATAAGCGATATGGTATTGTAGTAGTCTGCTGTGTTATACGAACTTGACCTACTGAAGACGCGCAGTATCAGCAAACAAAATTTCTATGCTGGCGGTTATTTCTCTACGTAGACGCTTTCACTTTTTACAAATTGTCATTTAAGCTCTTAAATTAAAGTATCTTTTATTCAATCTTTCAGACTAATGGGAAATAAATGATACTACTATAATAATTTACGAAAATAAATCTTATAGGCTAAACTGAGAAAAATTTATTGTATACTTTGTTGCCTAGGCGTGTTAGTCAAGCTTAATACTGAAGGTAGACAGCACGTTAAACAATAGCCTACGGTTGGACGGTCAATTGTCAGGTCGACGAGGATACATAATTAGAAGAGTCTGAAGTGGAAAGCTGCATTGTGCACAGTAGCGCATTTACGACCCTATTTATGGAATATCCAAAAGACCCTTTACTGGCCGACTCTGGTGGGCGTCGAAGTAATTTTCAATGTCATTTCATAAGTTGGAATTATGGAATAAAATCGACGTATTAAATCATAGTGGTGTACAATAAAGTGAAGGACAATTTGGAAATAATTAATTTTATTATTTATGGTATTTTATATTTATTTTCGTTATGCAGGTAAGAAAAATTAAACAGCCGAGCTAATTTTTAACGTTTTCCAGTTATATCTTTATGAAAAAGTTATTTTTAATCGGTAGTAAAAATAATTTGAGTATTTTTTTCTATTTGTAACGCGAATCACCAGTACGCTACTCACCTGTATTTTTGCGCTCCAGTGTGTCAAACTAATATAAATTACATAATCCAATGCTATTTTAACTCTGATTCAAATTGTAGCTATAAAAGATTACGTGAGAAATCGTTCAAAAGGTTGTCGTTCCAGAAAGGATGTGCTATATGAGACATCAGGGAAGCGATCTCGTAACATTCAAAAAAAATTACGATGAGAAAAAGTTTAAGGCTTTAATTTAAGATCTCTATACATAGGAAAAATGAATCTAAATAAAATTCAAGCGGCACTGGCTTTTATAGGAACTATTTGGCACTTCTGTGGCTCGGAAAAGTACGCGTGCTTATTGCGATTCACACGCCCCGTCTCGTGTGATCTTTTCGCTTTAGCGACAACATACATTCACGCACAAGTCTCGTGATACGCTATTTCGATACGATGTGTGATTTTAAGCATGGTCGAGTCCCCGCGCATGGTGTATGGAAAAATAAAGTACACGCGCCACGGGAAGTAAAGTGACAAGCCCAAAACTCGTGTTTGTCAATTTATACGAGCTGTAAGCTTGCCAATGCTTTACCTCTCTAGACGTGCAATGCATTATAGATACGTGTGCAAGAAAGTGATTTCAACCTCGCTTCGCTCGGGGGCAAACGACCACTAAAGGTTTCAATCAATTTTTCGCACTGGTATCAAAATGTCATAATTTTAGTTGGATAATCATTGAAAAGTAAGCTATTAGTGAACTAAGGGGTTAATTGCTATAGTAGATATGAAAGGTTGAGTGATCATCAATGATTACACAACTTTTTAGTAAAAAATATCGCTCGTTTAATATTTTGTTGTTACATAAAACCTTGCAAACAATAATCGTCGAACGAATCGTACGACCACTCCCCTACTTTGCGATCACCATAGCTTTCTCTCGACCTTTCCAAATCTATATCTGAAACTTGCTCCAAAGTAGGTAAAGTCAATTGGCCCGCTGATTGGTTCTCCTGCTAATTGGGGGTTGTAACCACCGAGAAGGCCCCAAAACGGATGCTATAAAAACGCAGCCCCCGTTAGCTTCGGCTCACTTTGGACTGTGCTCTTGATCTTGTATCATCTGTGCTCTCGTACCTTTACCGTGCTTAATATTCATCTGTGCTCTCGTATATTTTTTGTGCTTTTGATTTTGTATTAATTGTGCTTTCGTACATTTTCTGCGCTCAATATTCGTCTGTGCTTTTGATCTTGTATCAATTGTGCTTTCGTACATTTGCTGTGCTCAATATTCGCCTGGACTCTTGAACTTGTATCAACTGTGCTCTCGTACATTTTCTGTGCTAAACATCCGCTTACAGTTGTGTGCTACGATCAGTGTTAACTTAGCTCCAGTGTGCTGATAGCATAGTGACGTACGTCGCATCTTCTCTTCAACATCACGCTCTGCGAACATCTTGCGAAGTTACCGTAAGTATTTTCTCCTTATTAATTATCGAGTTGCCATCTGACCTTTGCATTTCAAATTTCTTGTTATTGCAACTTTTATTTGTCTTTTCTAGTTGCAAGTTCAATAACACACGATTTCTTGCAAGTTTTTTTAGTTCGTTTCGATACTAGCGCGAGAGTGATTTGACCTTTGTATAAACCTTTGCGCCCGAGCGAAGCTAGACTGAATAGGTCACACAAGACTCATCACATTTCGTACTAGTATCGAAATATGATATTCGCATGTTTGATTGCAGCTTTAGCTAATGCTTTGCGTTTTCCTTTGAAAAGCGCGCTCTATTTGTTGCCGTGATACTAGCGCGTCGCAGTTCATATAGTGCGTGCATCAGTATGCGTGTCGAGCTTCGATGCCGCAACGTAACCTCTCTCTGTCCCTCTCTCGGCGTTGCGCGTTCTCCGTTCTCGTGGACGGCGGTGGTGGCGGCGGCATATCGCACAACTGCCTCCAGTGGTTTCGTCCAAACCGACTGCAGTCCGCTTGTAAAATTACCCGGGACATCGAAAATCAACCTTCGGTCAAGTCGTCTTCATTTAGCTTGAGGACGATGTCGCCAAGCCCTTGCTACTATTGCTCTCGCTGCTGACCTCGCGTAGCATTACTTCTTTAGTCTGTGAGTTAAAGCGCTGGCTTTGGGGTTTTTCTTTGATGACGCGCTAAAAAACTTCGTTTCGATATTACCTGCTTATCTATGTTTGTTGTGCGCGCTACGAAATTGTTTGTTTAGTCACGCGTTTAAACTGTGACTGAGACATTCGTTTTGCTTAGTTTACAGCTTGGTGCATTTGTGAATGAGTGATGTTTTGAAATACGGTGGTGGTTGGAACGTTTGGTCCGTTCACATTACCTTACTATCAAAACTGTGCAAAGATGCGTTTTACGAACGTATTATTGTTTTGCTTCGACGTTATTTCGAGTGAACGTGCAAAACAGATGTTTTGCTAAATATCTTTTTTATATTTAATGCTCGTCGCTTGCTTGTAAACTTTACCCAAATGTTGTTAAAAATTCAAATGTTGCTTAGTTGTCGTAAAGGGCATATTTTAGCCAAGTTTCTTTTTTTGGTTTTACAGGATTTTCTGTAAAATATATTTTTTTGTACAGACAAACATAATATAGACAGTTTTGCACGATTAGTGGAAAATTAGCTTGAGCTGGAGAGGTTAGAATCGAGTCCATTGTTGCGTCAACTATTCCAACGCTTATGTTTTTGATATATTAGACAATTACTAGGAATTTATTGAGTTTTTAGTGATATTCTTGTTAATTATTGCTATCTAAAATTATGTTTATTGAGCATGTACTTTTATTTTTTCACATATTGACTAATATTTTGTAAATGCATTCTGTAGTTCTACCTATAAACTTTGTGTTTACAGAAGCCTTCAGTTATACCAATCAGTCACAATGTGGTCTCAGGCAACTACGAAGAATACCTCGACTGCTGTCAAGAACCAAAAACCACGAACACTTGGTATGACTTCAGCCATAAGTATGGCTGAACCAAAGCCAAGTGATCTGACTAGAACGAGTGAACTCAAAGAATCTCTCAAACCGTATAATGTCTTTGAGTCGGAAGAAGAGCTTAACCATCGGATGGAGATTTTAAGTAAATTGAACTCCTTAGTCAAACAATGGATTCGTGACATAAGTATTGCCCGAAACATGCCACCAAATGTTGCTGATCAAGTAGGAGGCAAAATCTACACATTCGGATCCTACAGATTAGGTGTTCACCACAAAGGAGCAGACATTGATGCTTTATGTGTTGTACCCAAGCACATTAGTAGACAAGATTACTTCTCATCATTCTTCGATTTGTTGAAGGAGCAACATGAAGTCACAGAATTGAGGGTAAATTTTTGATTATGATTTTTAGTTGTCATTAGTCATTAGTCATTATTCAATTTTGGTTTTAAAATACAATTTACATTTTATAACTATTAAAATCTTTATTTTTCTTCAATTGTTTTTCATTTTGAGTAGTGATAGACCATAGTATGCTGTTTCAGGTAAAATTTTAATTATTATTTATCTGTATTTCTAGGCTGTTGAGGAAGCGTTTGTACCTGTAATAAAAATGAATTTTGATGGCATTGAGATTGATATGCTATTCGCAAAACTGGCCCTCAAGGAAGTTCCAGATTCTATGGACTTACGAGATGACATGTTGCTGAAAAATTTGGATCAGAAATGTGTCAGGAGTTTGAATGGCTGCCGAGTAACAGATGAAATTCTACGCTTAGTACCTAATATTGAGAATTTCAGGTTAGCCTTGCGTGCAATCAAATTATGGGCAAAAAGTAAGTTTCGATATTTTTATATATTAATAATGCTGTTTTCCGAATTTAGTTTATACTTTAATTTCTATATTGATTAATGTTTGTTTCAGAAAATGGCATCTACAGTAACGTTTTAGGTTATTTGGGAGGAGTATCTTGGGCAATGCTTGTCGCGAGAACTTGCCAGCTGTATCCAAACGCGGTAGCCGCAACTTTGATTGAGAAGTTTTTCCTCGTTTTCTCCCAGTGGAAGTGGCCTCAACCAGTTCTACTGAAATCACCAGAGAATGTCAATTTAGGTTTTCCTGTTTGGGACCCAAGGGTAAGTTGTTTTATTTTAAGAAACTTGAAGGAAATTTATTAATGTGTGTATTTCAATGTATAATTTTCATTTTAGATAAACGTGGCAGATAGGTACCACCTGATGCCAATCATCACCCCTGCCTACCCACAGCAGAATTCGACATTCAATGTTTCTGTATCAACGCGAACGGTCATGCAGGAAGCATTTGAAGTTGGATTGGCAGTCACAGAAGAAATCATTATGGGAAAAGCATCGTGGGACAAGTTGTTCGAGCCACCAAATTTCTTTGGAAAATACAGGCACTATATTATTGTGATGGCAAGTAGCTGTTCATCCGAGGATCAACTGAAGTGGTGTGGCCTTGTGGAGTCCAAGATTAGAACTTTGGTTGGATGTCTAGAGAGAAACCCTTTAATCACGTTGGCACACATTAACCCTGAATGTTTCCCACCACTATCTCCGGAAGCAGGCAAGCACATTTCCATGTGGTTCATAGGTTTGACTTTCAAAAAAGGCGAGAATCTTAATATCGACCTTACGTACGATATCAGGAACTTCGTAGATACCAGTAAGTATCCTTGTGAATAATCTTTTATTGTTTTTACTCTCATTGATTTATCAATCTCATTACTTTTTTATTTTTATCAGTTGAAAGGCATGCGGAACAAATCAACATTTTCAGGAATGGTATGGCTATAGAAGTAAAACACGTGAAACGAAGGGATTTGTCCAATTACGTTGCTTCTTCCTATTTAGTCAAACGCGAACGCAAAGTAAGTAATACGGGTTGTGAATTTACTAACAAATTCGTTAGCTGTATAAGGTGGAGTTCTACTTCGTTATCTTTATTTCAGACCTCGAGTAGCAATCAGAGGAATGGAAATGTTAGTGGAAATGGTGGTTCTCCTAGAAATCAACCTGACATAAACTCTAGAAAAAGGAAGTCTGACCAAACTTCTGAGAACAAAGACAAAAAAAGAAAAATCCAAGAGAACCACAATAAATCACAGGTTCAAACTAATGTTACGCAAGAGAAAGAAGACAACTCTATGGGGGCTATATCCATAGGAGACGATAGCAATTCGGAAGTCAGCATCGTGGGAGAGTATAAGCAGAAAACTACGAAAGATGTAATTATATGATTAAATATCAGTAAACTAGATTCATTTGATAATTAATATATACTTAGAAACAATTAAGAAATGTTATTAACATATATTTAGGGAGTGACATCATCGAAAACTAGGCCCGGTACAATGCCCCCAATAAGCAAACCACCAGCAGCGACTTCGGCAGTCGCCCAGGAACGATTCGTTTGTACTTGACCAGCTCCTCATGAAGCCACGACGACCACTTCGACAGTTGCTCTCCAAACGACCTCTACGGCGCTTCAGAGCCCTTTGAAACGCAAAGAGTTCTCGCGCCATCAACCACCACTGCCCACTGTGTAAATCCGTCAACCTAAACAACCATGCGCATTATTACAGTGAACTCAGCTAGTGACGGAGGCACTACCACCATAACAAACCAGCGTACACTTTTTCTTCGAAATAAAAAACGGTATGTACAGAAGAACATAAATAAGAGAGTAACACGACACACTCTCGCTCGACGAGAGTGCATTTTCTTAAAAGTTCGTGTTGTTTTTGCCAGCGTCGATGGTCGCGCTAACTTCGAGTGGGTTACTTTTACTTTTTCGGAGAAAAGTTTCATGCTTTTTTATATTATCAGAGGGTTGGTCCTTCTGTGCTATTCGATGAAAATTCAATGTAACGTAGTTAAATTTTCTGACTTTGCTTTTACAAAGTTTACATTTGTACACTGAGATATTTTGACCAATTATTTAATATTTGTATTGTAAGAGATACGTTACTTTTAGTTTGACAAAAACTTAAGTTTTAATAACGGGAACTTACGTGTAGCTAGATTTACATATTAATTTTACTTAATTGACTTGGCGTGGGAAGTTCCGAAAACTTTTGCAGACAGTTAACATGAACCGTTGAATTTTTCGTCGCGGATAGCAGAGAAAGAAACAATTCTGTGATAATAAGCTATGTATGTATAAAAAAGTATTAAATTTTTCATCACTTGTTTTGCGTTAGTTTTAGTTTCGTTACTGTCCTTATAAAACCGAACGTTCGACAACGTTACGGCGCGGGAAGGTGATTCTAGATGGTATAGATTATTGTAGTTATAAGAACCGGTGTGTTGCACGGTATGTACAAACTAAAATAAAAAAAGCAATTTAAAAAAAAAACCTAAAAAAATGGATTAACTTAGGTCAATGTATATTCAAATAAATTACGCAACGACTGTGAAACGAATTATGTCCATCGATCCTGGCAAATTCGAAGACGCGTGTTCCGTTTATAAAATTATATATATATATAAATATATATATATAGTTCGTAATTACTACACATACATATAAATATTATACTATATTTGTAAGTGCAGATGAGTGAGTGAATGAGCGAGAAATAAAGAAATATATCTGTAACTGGAACACCATTTGCGTAATCACAATGATTGATTTTGTAGTTTATCCTTCCTTTTGCTTATATTTTCGTATGATGGTTTCTTTGAGTAGAATATTTTTTTAAGCCTTGGTAATAATGATAAAAAAAAGAATAAAATAAACAAAAATACAAAATATTATCATGTTCCATTGCATGGAGTTTGCGAGTATCAGTTATATTGTATGTGCGATAATTTACTTTCTTCTTCTTTTTTTTTTAAATTTATCATTGAAAATTTTGTCGCTCATGTACAAAAGCGAAATCGTATCAAGTGTACCAACAGAATTTTACGTTCTGATAAATGAGCATACGTGTATAAATTATTATTTTAATTACATCTTACTCAAATAAAAATGGATCTACAGCATATATTGATGTTTTATATCTTATTTATTTAATATTAATTTAATCTTTTCATATATTATTTTGCCTCCCTATACTTTTGTCAAGCTTTTAGGATATCTCACATTAACTACTATAATGTGGATTCACGCCAACCTCAATTACTGGACCCAGACCTCCTGCATGGGCTCTATTTTTTGTGTAATATTCATTTATTAAATATGTTTAACATTTTGATTATTGTTCTATATAGAAAAATGAACCAGAAAAACGTAATACAACATTGAGATTCGTATGTCCTCTTTCAATAGGTGCCGCATCAGCAGTCCGAATAATATTTTAATACGGCGATTGCTTATAAACTAAATACTTACAAGCTAACATTCTTATCCTGGCTATTTACAAATGAGAAATCTCACAAATTATGTATGATACGTTATCGGGATTGGTAGTATTGATAATAATGTATTTGGTAGTTGTTTGTTACTCTTTGCTTTATCGAGTATTAATTTTGTATTTTTTAGTAGTTCAATTTTGTACAGGTCAGGAATTTGCTATCCGTGGATAGTCACTAGCATCTTTCAGTGTACAGGAAACTAAACATATTGACATCGTGATTTGATATTGTTGTTGAATTTTTTAAAGATGGTGCTTGTTTTGAAGTCGGACGTATCGTTTTACTAGCCTTGTACCTGCCCGATGGTAAATTATAGGTACGCTGTTGGCGTCTTGTACGTAGCCTTGGGCGTCCACGACTGTGAAGGACTTTGGTGGTTTAGGTTTTATTTGCATCGTTCTGTATAGTTTATGTTAATGACTGTGAAACAATTAATAAGCGGGTTACTATCAATTAGCATTTGCAAAATATTCGCGGGTCAGTTTGATTATACAGTTATCGATACGCGGTATGTTGGTATCGTTGTAGAGATCTTATTTACTGATATGGCATTTGTATTTTGAGCACGTAGTCCTGCGGTTATATGTAAATGTTAGTCCTGTGTGCTCCACACACTAAACTTATGAAGTACTAATAATCGATGCGTAATTTATTTTATTTTGCAATAAGCAGTGTGTAAAATTTTATTCAACGATTTTTTTTATACATACAGTTTTTTCGCATGAATAGTAATTACTGGTCCGACATATATCTCCAATAAAAATTTTTAAAAACACTTATCAATCAATAAGAATAAAATCACAAATTTATAGCCAAAGTAAAAACATCAGAGCAATAACGAGAACCTCGTTAGCACGTTCTACGATTTTTCATATGATAGCATATAATTTGAGCAATTAATGATTTTTGCAAATTTCTTCTATGATTGAATAATTGAAAACAATAATCTTGGGATTTAACTGATATATTTGCTCTAACATTATTAATAACATCGTGAAAAATGTTCGTATAAAACAAATAATGATTATTATAAGTAGGGTGGCTCAAACTATTTCAGAAAATATGCTTCAGAGTAATGAGGAATGCTTGGAACGACGATTTCCGTGCATATATATATATATATATATATATATATATAATATCCTACGATTAACGAAAATGTACAAACGTATCGACTTGGTAACTACAATACTTGATAAAACCGTAATAAATTGTACGCATATCATTTTGAAGTAAATAAAAATCTCAAATAAAAAAAATATTCATAAATCTTTTAATCCAATATGAATGTAACTACGAGTAGTTTTCATCAGTGATGAATTCAGTAGTTAGGATAAATTTATTTACGCAGATTCGTATATTTAGCTGAAGATAGAGAGCGCTTTGAGGTCTTCTGATTCCATGGCACACCCACGCAGAGCAATCAGCGACTAATTTAATATTTACCAAGCAAACACACGAAAAATGCGCACACGCAACTTTATTCAGCACAAAGGTGCATTTGAACGTACCGTGGAGTTGTGCGCTCGCGCGCCTGCGTAATTGTCGCGCCTCGTAAGTTCGTCGGCTGTTTCGCGCGACGGATACGCAACCAGTGGCAGAAAAGTGGCAGATGCCCGCCGGCGAGCTACACGTGCGCGAAGGCAACCGTCTTTTTTTTTTCATCTCTTGCAATTCCGAGCTTGCATATTTAAATAGTAGTATAAAGAAAAAACATTTTTTTTTTCGCATCTATAAATCTTACAACGGCAGTGCAAAGTTTGATTATCGTTGAATTATTTCAAGTAATTGGAAACATGATTCTTATATTTCATTTGAATAATTTATTCAAGAAAAAATAAAAACAAGTTGACGTTCACTTGTTCGCGTGTTGATAACTACGATTTTAAGAAGATGAGGTACAAGCACATCGTAACGATAGGCACTGTCCTAATCACTATCTTCGTCCTGTTGGCAGCTCTCATGTATTACTTTAATCAAGGTAAGAGACTTTTACACCGAGTATTTTACGCAGCGAATTCTCGTGCTAATACACTTTAGAACGTTAAAGTTTCCCTGCTAAAGCTTCTTCAATTTACCCGATACACATAGGAATTAAGAAAATATCATCAAGATTCGTTGATTTGACAACCATAAAAAGTCAGTACTTGCAAATAAAAGAATATTCAGTATTTTTTTGTATCGAAATATTAGATGAAGGAAGTGAGCGTAGCTTAATGCGCGAAAAAAAAGAATATTTACGAAGTCATATTTTAACTTGAAGCGAAGCGCACGTGGAGCGAAAACATTGTTTTTTTTTCTCGCATATTTTATCGATGATTCCATTCAACGCAACGTAGCTTTGTAAGAAAAGTTCATTTGCATTCGTAATACTCACATAAAAACGAATCTTATCTGAAGTGAGAATACTCTACAGAAATTTATAAGTCATTGTCATCAATTCTTTTACTTCGTGCTCAAAGTTTGACTTAAGATTGACGTTTATCTTGCATACTACGACAATGCAGCAAATTTACTGTTGTCTGTGACGTTTAATATTTACGTTCGCTCTCGCGTGTGCACCGAAGATGCATGATTCAGACGAGAAGTCAAAGTCAGCTTTCGTCTGATCACTTCACGGCAAATAAAATTCAATAATTTTTACTTAGGAAGGACGCTATTCGAGTTAGAGTACGGGTTTAAATTTAAGAATGCGAAAAATATATCATTCAAGATTGAACGCCGATAAACATGTAGCACTGGGTGATCGAACAGAGAAAGACACGAAGCGCCAGTAGAGTCAATGATAATCAAAAGCACTTAACTTCTTGAAGTGATATCCCCTTTGGATGGATCGAAGACAGTTGTTATTGAGACTTGGTCGCTGCGTCGAAGTTCAAATGCGAAAACTCACGAAGATGCCCGATGCCAAGGTCACCGTGTCCTTTTCTCCGGAAGATCAAGTTCGATTGCTACTTTGTCAAATCACGACGCGATAATTGACTTTGATTCTTCGCGAGACTTGACGTTGACATTAACGAGCTTCCAATCTTTTAATTTACATCCTCTGAGCTAATGTAAGTTGAAGTTTCGTAGCGTGATAATTGCCAGCGCCTAGCAATTAGTTTTGCTTCGCATGATTCGCTATGGTACGGCTCTTTTGATTACGTGCACGAAACTCGTTTGCGAATGAATTGAAATTACTTAAACGTCTGATCATTCGAACAAATGTGTTGATTAATTGGGAATTAATTGGCTCTGTATTATGAAAGCATGAAATTGAGAGAGACGAAAAACTTGGTCTTGACTTTAGTTTCATAATGCGTGGAATTTATTCTTCATTGATTGTATGATTAGAAGCGATTGATTGTGCACACAGCGTAAAAGCAGCGTAAAGGCAAATGTCATACGCGGTACTGCAATCTATGTGGATTGCAGTTTATTGAGATTAGGGATACCAAGCCTTGCTAGCCAACACTTGGTAAATTAGCAACCACAAATATTATTATAATGAATAATCGGCCACAAAGTAGATAATGCACTGTCCGACACTCAGTCTACACTCGCTAATATGCCTGCGCTCGGTGGTTATGAGACCAGAAAATGCTGTACTGCAATTTTATAAGTATACGCAATAATAGCCATATTCACTTTGCAATACCATACATCAAATAAAGATTATATTTTTCAAGTTACATTCTCATAATTAGTCATTTTTTGTACGCAATCGAATGCTACGGGCAGGAGCTTCAAGAAAACTTTCTAGAAGCGGGTTGTAAATATTATAAAAATACATATACAAAGATTGCCATCTCCAGAGGCGACGCGATGACTGAGCGTTTTGAGAAACTCTGTTTTTGTGTTTAACTTATCAAGTAGCAGTTTCGCGTGCACATTGCAAACTTGCAATTAAAAGAACTCGCCATACAGACGAATTGTGAGATCAACTGAAATTCAACTTAACAATTCCTTATATTACAGACAGCTGTTCAAAAGGTACGTTCCCTTGTGCAAACAGCACCATGTGTTTACCACAGCAAAAGTGGTGCAACGGTGAGATAGATTGTCCCGAGAAAGACGACGAGTCAATCACGTGCAGTAAGTGCAGTTTATGAAAAAATTACCATTTGATAGAGCAGTTGATTGTATTGCGATGAACGAATTTTTCGGTACTTTTTTTTATGACAGTTGACTTATTTGGAAATTGGAAATGGTACGAAGACATATTTTTAAACAATGAAACAAGACCCAAACCACGTTGTCCAAACGTAACTGATGGTGAGTGGATATTTATAATATTTCTTGGCTAAAAAGTAAATCTCACTTATTTATGTCTGCTATAATAAAAAATATATACATTTTATACGTACAGATAGTCCAGGCTACTTCACTAGTTGCATCTATGATAATTGCGTTATTGAATGTCAGGAATATGCTGAACATGAGTTTCCACCGACTTTTCTTGAAGGCGTTGCTTTGATGTGAGTTGTCTATTATATTAATTTAATATTACTTTAAAATAATAACAAAAAATTGCTTTCAGACGTTTTGAGAACAGCTCTATACCAGTTTTAAAATATAATTCGTTCGAGCGATATTCTCATTTAATGGAACTGTAAGTTTACATGTATCTTGACATCGGGTAATGACTGTTACATCAAACATATACATACACAAATAACACTAGATAAAGGCTGATATTTTAGAGAACTATTATTACGTATTATAATAATTCAGATTTTTAAAAAACCTTTATCTCTGACATATTAAAAAAAGAAAAACATAATTGAAACTTACTTCAGTGTTTTATAAAATGTAATATTACAAATTCACAGAATAACCAGTAATAGACCAAGTAGACTCGATAACAAATGTAGATGAATTAATTTTTCTATCTAATGTATAGTGATAAGTCGTTAGCAATTTTTACAATTTCCACAATATTTACAAATGAAAAAACATGTTACATTTGTTTTAAATCATATATGACTTAAGAAAATACCATTATCATTAAATTCTTATGCCATCTATTTAATAATTTTAATTGATAAAGTTCGCTCCTCATTAGAACGTAATACACGAAACTACAGCTGAACAACATAAAAATATAACCGAAAGTATTACGATGCTTTTAATTTGTTTATATACTAGGCATCTCGACAATAACACAATACGATTCCTCGAGCCCAACGTGTTTGCAAATCAGAAAGCTTTAACTTTGCTGTAAGTGGTGTAACTCAATGCATGGTCAGCCAAATAGTGGTCTGCTTCCCTCTCATTCTATCTTTCATTTTCAGCAAACTATCTCATAACAATATACGAGAAATCAGACAGGGCAATCTAAATGGTTTGATATCTTTGAACACATTAATATTAGATTTCAACGAAATTCATAGTTTGGATCTGAGTGATTTGGAAAATAGCGAAAATCTAACTTTATTGTGAGTACAGTGAAGGTAATGTGGTAGAGTGTCGAATAATTTAATGATTGAATTTCAGAGATCTAACTAGAAATCTATTAACGTCTTCAAACTTTTATTTACCATATCTTCCTGCGTTGAATGAACTGTAAGCTCATCAGTAATTATTTATTTAATCGATATAGATATTTATGTTTTTATTTTAATTCATATCACAGAAATTTAGACGAGAATCGACTGGAATGCATTACGAGCGACATGTTTTCCCGACTACCAATGTTATCGTCTTTGTAAGTTAACAGTATTAGTCAATTACAATCTTCTAAGTAAACGCACGACAGTTCTCTCTTCTGGCTACTGAGTTTAAGTTTCGATTTTGTCTACCTTATCAATTTATAATATTGAATTTTGTAATAATCTTTTGTCCTAGAACGCTGGAAAATAATTTAATTCAAACTATTTCTCCAGATGCTTTTGCAAATTTAGTTAATTTATTAGATTTGTAAGTATAGTAATGATTTTAATTGTAGCAAGTTTAATTCGTCTTTGTGTGAACGTGTTTTAAATTTGCAGAAACTTGATGCATAATCAAATTGTTACTGTACCTCCCAGCCTTTTTATGAGTACTCGAAATCTTTCGAAACTGTAAGTATCTTCTAATTTATTAAGTACGTAATGAATTGAAAAATAGATTTTCTTAAAATCCGCGGATAACATTATAGTATTTCAGCAATATTTGCAAATTCGAATGAGTTGAGATTTTAATAAGTGATAAGTGGAGAAACACTATTCAATCACAGTTATGTCTCCGTGTTAGACATTTCCATTTGCATAACTAGCCATAATTAACAGCGATTATTGCGAGGCTATTCCAACTCGCATAAATCGATATAAGCGCGATATAGTCCTTGAGCCGGACTACGTGATCAAACGTACTGTGCAAGCGTTAAGTGAAACGCCCATGCAAGTCTCTCTGTTTGCATTCTCGCCCATTCTGTATATCTATTTAAATGATGAAAATGCCAGTCTTAGGGTCTAAGATTCTTTGATATAGTAAATTATCACGTTTATAAGATAACCACGTGCGTAAATAAATGTGTAAATGATCATCTAGACAAGCAATAGTTATTAAGCTGATGATAACATATTGAATCATTAATGAATTTACAACGAATAATTTATTTTATCGTGTCTAGATTCAAACAAAAAAATTTCATTACTTTTTTAGGCAAATTGGGCATAATGAAGATTTATTGCCAGAAAATTTGTTACCGTCTTTATTACCTTTGAAAAACAGTATAAACTCACTGTAAATATTATGGTGTTACATAAGTATTTGTTGTAAACTTTTTACGTCAATTTAATATTTTTTCCATTTTTAGAAATGTCGAAGAGATAATTATGGACGATGTTGAAAAAGATTTTTTCAACGTATTTACTGGACTTGAATTTTTGTAAGTTATTAATAGTATTGTGAGATCAGAAATAAGTGTGCGCACTTTATCATAAAAGACTTTGATTACAGATATTTCAAACGCTTTCATTACTGTACGGCTTATGCTCCAAATGTTCAAAAATGCAAGCCGCCGAGCGACGGTAACATGAACGAAATTCAGCTGCAAATTTTACTGTTCACTCCTTTAAATTTTTTCTACTTTTACTTTCTTATTCTATTTATTTTATTCTATCCATATATACTGTTCAAAATATCCACGTATGTCGGATTACCTTGTCAATGTGTTACTTGTCATACGTTCATCGGTATAGCCAAGAAATCTTGATTTCATAATCACCTCTTCATTTTTTTATATTTCTACTACAGTATGTACCTGAACAATATAGCTCATTTTTATTATAATTTGCATGAAGATTCAACAATTTTGTTACTCATACGTACATGCATATAATTATGGAATATTTTTTTATTTCTTATATTTGTTTGTCGATCAATTATGCTCAACAAATAAATATTTCCTTAGAAATATTGTATTGTTTTATGTTTCGTTATGATATCCATAGATATTTCTTCTTAGTTTGAAAAGTCTGGCTTGTGAGTATTTTGCATAAAAAGAATAGAATTTCTTTAACATCGATATAAGTGCACTTAATACATCATTAATTAAACAACGTTTGTAACATTCTAAATATATTGCAAATGAAAAATGATTTTGAAAAATAAGCAGTATCAAAACGTTGAGTATTAACATTTTGTATACAAGTAGTCTTTTGACAAAGAAATCTGTTAAATTAATCAATACGAGATTTCACATTCTTGATCTCAACTTGTCAATTGATATTTAAAAACTGAATATTTGACGTTGATGTTATTCATAAAAAAACATATGATTGACTTATAAAGAAGCAGAATAAATTTCTTCATCTAATGCATGGAAATAAGTCTTTTGCGCATGTTATACGAGTACAAGGAAGACCTTACTTCTTTGTAGATGATGTTCAACTTAAAGTAACGTCCCTCTATTTATCGCATTCTGTATTATTATCGAATTATTGTTAAAATTGATATTTTTGTTATTTTCCCACAGGAGTTTCTTCATTATCGCATTTGCTGCGTAAACGATTACTTAGAATTGCTGTTTGGGGCATCTCTTGCGTTACGTGTCTGGGTAACGCTCTTGTGTTGTGGGGGAGGTTCACGGCCAAGGATGAGAATCGAGTTTTGAGTATAGTCATTAGAAATCTAGCAGGTATGTATTCCATTAATTAAATATAACGTAAATAGTCACCTTTTCTTATCAGTTCATCTTACATTACAGTATCCGATATGCTAATGGGACTTTACTTATTCATCATCGGAATCGAAGATATTCGCTTCCGCGACAATTACAAGCAAGAAGCAAGTGCGTGGATATCATCATGGTCTTGTACAATTATTGGTATGATTGCTATGGTATCGTCCGAGGTGAGAATCAGTCGTGTATCTTTTAAAAGTAGCAAATCATAGATATAATGTTCGTTTGAATTAGTTTAACAATCAGACTAGTACAAAACTATCTCTAGACGAATTTGGCTTCATACTTTCAAAATACTTCGATATTTTCATTAGCAGCAACTATAAATAATACTAAAATGAAATGCAGTGCTGAATCTAATACCAATGCGCACGTGAAATGAAAATCTTTGTTGCATTATCATTCTCATCTTAGAAAGTTGTTAAAACTGATCGTATAAATCGATGGCACGTTGAGTGAAATTCGTTTGTCGGATGAATTTACCGCGCTATCGATATTTTTCGACAATGCACAAATTAAAAATACATAGCAGACGAAGCATATTGAGAAAAGTCGTAAATAACAAGTAGTACGTTCTCACGCAATAAATAACGTCAAAGGCGAACAGCTTCTCCCACGCCTCGTCATGATTTCACTATGGGGCTCGTCCGCAGGTATCGGTGCTGATCTTGTCGTTCATGTCGGTGGAGCGATTTATGCTGATCGTAGCACCGTTGAGAGGTCACCGTGCCATGACCCCGCAAACCGCGGCTTCCTCCATGATCGCCGTCTGGGCCGTCGGGATCACTCTCGCTCTTATTCCCGGTAAGTCGCTCATGGTGAAAGTTACCATTTTTATATTTGTAACTTCACTTCCTTCATTTATTTATGCTGCACGTTCAATCAATTCTCTTATCATCCGTCGATCGGCTTTCACTCTTTCATCTCCCTTTGCTTCACGCTCTTTCAACGAAAATTCTCGCGACGTGGCCACAATTTTTGCTGCATATGATTTTTGCCGAAAATAAAAAATTAATGTTATGATAATCGAATTGAATTAGCAACGTCGTGTATGCATCGATATTTCGAAACGAACTTTTCAGCGATTCATTGGCGCAGCAGTACACGTTTTTATGGTTTGAACGGCATGTGCTTCCCGTTACACATAGATAATCCCTTTCTTGTTGGATGGGAATACTCAGCGTTCATTTTTCTTGGTCTCAATTTACTTGGGTAAGTTTGAATTGAATCAGCTGTTATAAAATATTACAATTTTATTTCTATTTTTTTCTTGTAAAAATAAAACTAAGTGCACATTCGTGTCGATTAAAATTTCTAATTGATATGTTTATTCCATTGATATAAATCAACTTGTGATATAACGGTTAAATTAACAGTAATGTAACTCTTCCCAATTGTAGTCTTGTCATCATTGGATACGTTTATGCTGGGATGTTTATAAGCATATGGAGAACTCGTCATGCTACTCCACTTTCAGTTGGTGATTCGGAATTCATTCTACGATTCTTCTTGATTGTGCTGACAGATGCTGTTTGCTGGGCACCCATAATTATCCTTAAAATTTTAGCTTTGACCGAATATCCAATTAATCGTAAGAATTTTTCAAATATTAAATACAAACATACGATTTCTATTGATTTGGCTATTATTTAAATTTTTCAGCTGATTTGAATTCTTGGGTGGTGATTTTTATTCTTCCGGTGAACAGCGCCGTCAATCCGTTACTGTACACGTTTACCACCCCGAAGTTTAGAGAAAGACTGGCTAAAGGATTGTTTGGAAGGGTGTGTGACATTGTATCTCGAAAGCAATCAAGAAGTGGTAAGAATCTCTTCACTAATTACTGAAAAATACAAATTATTAATTAATGTACTATTTTCAGAATCGCAAGTATCTAACGTGTACAACAGTAAAAATACAACATCGGGTACAGGTATTCCTAGAGATTCGTCCATAGAAGAGAAGCAAGTATCATCAAATAACATGAGAAATATGATATTGTGCATGCCGTCACCAAAAAAATCATCGATTGAAAAAGAAAAGGAAGATACTTCCTCGAATGAAATGAAAAATAAGAATATAATGCTGTGTATGTCTTCTCCTAGAAAATCTTTGGAGAAAGAATCGAAGAAAAACAAATCTACTGATGAGTTATATTTGGTAGATTAATATTTTGAATCTAGGCTTTACTTATTTTTTAAAATTTGAAAAGTTAAGAAGTTTTCAGTTGTTTTGAAAATGAATTATGAATGTAATGATCGATTAAATTTTTCTTTTCGAAGCAGGCTGATCATAAGGTTTGATGTTAAATAAACCACATAACAAATCAGTATTATCAATCTTAATCGCTTATGTAACTAGTATTATATATATGTGTAATTATATATTTTTAAAAGTAAAATAAAGGTGTCACTGATATGAATTTTTAGTTGTATCTTAATTCTGATTATTGATAATTACAAAACTGTAAAAATTATTCATTTGTATTATTCAATTTATTTTAATTAAATTTTTGAATTAAAATCTGAATTAAAGTTCATATTTTTTAGACGCGTATGTTTTTTCCAAATTTAATAATATTTTTCTAAGCAGTTGTAATATGCATATTGGTAATAATTATGCCCCTGCTATTTTCATTAAATTGTCTATAAATAATTTATTCGTAGTATTACTGCTTTTTTAATGAAAAATTTCTACTTTCAAATAATAGGGATTATGTTAAAACAATGAATGTGCTTGAAAAAATTATGCGGTAAGTCTTATTTGTGGTAAAGTTTAAAAATATTAAAAACCATTACAAAAAATAAGGTAAGTGATAATTATCGAATAAATTAGCAAACGCAACTATATATTTATTGAGTTATTAATATTTCAGTTATTTATTAATTTACATTTAGATTGCTGAAACGTATGTGTATTGTAACCATTGGTCAATCTGTTTCATTTCAAAGCATTTGATTGTCGATAATAATTATAAAATGTTTATAAAATGCTTAATAATTTTAAGAAATAACAGGTTCATTATCATAAAGAAAATTCCAGAATTTAAAAGCCACTACGCTAATTGATACTAAAATGCGTTTACATTTACAATTCTTTCGACAATTTAGTGGCTAAAAGTACAATTTTGTTCCATTGACGATCGATAGGTGCTGCCATCTATCTCTGTTCCAGCGCGGCAATAACTTCGAGTAAAACTCGCGCCGATTTCAGCCAGCCCACGTGACCAATTAAAAGTATAAGGCACATGCTGCTTCGGGCTCAACGCCGCGAAAACTGGCAATTAATCAATATCTAATCGTCGGCGGTCGGCCGCGTGCGCAATAATCAAAAGCCGAGCGAGCCTGCGATCTGCATCTGGCCTAGCTTTCCGCGTAGGCCAAGCCCAAATTATCATACAACGGCACGGTAAATCGGCCGGTATCGCACGTCGTACGGCCGGCCGAGAAACGAGAGCGTTATCCTCGCGGCCGATCGACGAGGTGTTAAAACTTGCACCCGGGCGCGACAGATTGTCACCGCGAAAAGGGAGGAAAGAAAAAAACGAAAAGAAAAAAGTATGTACACTCGCGAGATCCGAATCTCCTGGCGACAGGTCAACTGCATTCTCGCGGATACGCTTGCTGATGTATATCTTAATGGGCCGCCGCGTGAGCGCGAGAGAACTGCCGATAGTTCTCCCTTTGTCTGTTTTTTTTTTCTTTTTAACGTCACTGTTTTCGCTGCGCCCTCGATTCCGAGGCTGCTGACGCTTCTGTGCCTTGGCTACTATCAGTTTTACCTGTTTTTGTCTCATTTGACTCTCATTACTCGACTGTCGTACTTATTTGTTTTTTTTTTTTGTTCCTTTTTTATAACTGTTACTTGAAAGTCACCGAGTTGAGTTACACGATGAATTCTAGAATTAATAACAATTTTCCACGCAATTAACGCAGTAATGTCATTCCACTGTCTTATTTTCTTAATGTTTCTTCATATTCTTACATTTTTATTTAATTTTCATCGATCAGTTATTAAAATATTTCTTTGTATTTTTTATAATTCAAAATTTGTCGCTCTTGAATTATTAGTATTGGCGAGTTTATAACGTAAAAATTTGAACTTGAAATTTTCATGAGTGTTTGAGAAGTAGATATATGGGTACGACTGGTAATGCTAGATGGCCTTTACAACCATACACACAAGATGAAGTAGAAAAGAGCATTTGAATATTTGATAATACTTTGTCTATAAAGTGAGACAACGATCCTTTCGAGCAGCAAAATGTTAATTCCTGTACAGTCATTAGGGAGTGTAATTAAATCCCAAAAAATAACAATTAAGATCGTATTGAGTGATTCACGCTCAAATATTACATAAAAGAAGGCCGATAAGAAGAATACAAGGTAATCGTGCGTTTCGTCTGATATTAATCGCCAGAACTCATCAGTATGGCATGACATTGCCGCCTCTAAATGCTAAACTAAATATTTAAGGCGTAATATTTCTGCATCAATGGAAAATTTTAGGCACTCAGATTTTGGAAACGTAGCGAATTGAAGAGAATAAATATTCTTTATACCGATGCTAATAATTTATCAATTATAATCTGAAAACTTTCAAAGAAGGGCGATGTAATTATGAAAATATGTATAAGAGTGACATATTTGATAATTTTTCATGGCACTTTTATAATATTATAAAAAAAAAATTAGAGAACTCGAGATTCTGAAAATAGTTGTTATCCGATTGAATCCCGTAGCTAAATTATGATTAAAAACTTAGTCTGTTACTTGAACCATCTTATTAAGATGAATTTTGAAGAGATAAATTTCCGCGAGTTATTCGTTCCTTGAATTTTAGTATGATTATCCTAAATTTGTCAACGAGGACAAACTGTCTAAACCTATTTGTTTGCACATTCTTCAAGCTTAATGACACTGAGCACAATCAATCAATTAATAAGGCTATCATTGAAGCAATCAGCTCTAACGAACTGCCGTGACAAGCAGAAAGTGATAAAAGCTTGGTGGGGGATGGCGTAGGCGATGAAAAAAGAGCAATTTCCGTGCATTATCAACGCCTCGTTTCGAAGTTTTCAACGAGCCGCGAGCTACGATATTATCGGCGCTAAGAGCGACGGACTTGGCGGGGGCACGCGAGACCCGGCAGGCCGCCTCAATCTCGCGTCGCGCGCGTACAAATGAAGTCGTAGTCGCGCGTAAGCCGATACGCACGTTTTGACGCTTACGCGCGCGCGCGCACGCACGCACGCACGCACGCACGCACGCACGCACGCACGCACGCACGCACGCACGCACACACACACGCGTAAGCGCGAGGATAAAGAACGACCTTGAACATCGATTCGCCCTCGAGAAACGCGAAACCGCCAATCAGATACGTACGCGTATAGGTCAGAGACACGGAATTGCCAGGCGGCCGTTTGTCGTTTTTTTTCGCTTTCGCACGTGCGCCGCGCCACACGGATTTATGCGCTTTTCAACTTGAGCCTCGTTACTTCTGACGTCGATTAATTGTTTCAGCTGCCTCTTTTGCGCGCGTGCCATTTTTTTTCCCCCGTCGTCCGAATTTCGCATTGTGCGCCGATTTTTCTTTCTCTTTTGCTTTTCTTGCCTCTCGACGCGTGATTATCAATCTTGCGTACCTGACTTTGCGCGATTGCGCGTGGAGTTTGCAATGTGATTTTTCTTACGGGACTGCATTTGCATTTGATGAAGCATAAATGCAGCTGGCAGGCGCAAAAAGGGGACTGTAATCTCATTTGATTAAACTTTCTTCGCAGGACGCATCGAACTGTGCGGAATGCTGAAAGTCACGGTCGAGTAATTAGCCGAGCCAAGTACGACTTACGAAACCGAAGGCTAGCCGCCTTAGATAATAATGCGTGCAAAAGTAAAAACAGCCTGAAGGATTCTCTGATCCGTGAGATCCTTCCCACGATTAAAAGTGGTAGGGGATATAAGAGGAATCGTCGATTCCGATCACGCGAGAAATTCACGGTCTTCAATTGGCGCTGAACGCAATAATTGGTCGCCGATAGACACTGCATAGAAGAGCTGTAATTTCATGCCGAAGCATGTAAAGCAGGTCCTCGAGTTCGCGTAATTCAAGTGTTATTTCCCGCAGCGCTCGTACAATTCCATTCATTGCGACTCTAGAATGGATTCGCTTAATCTATTCGCGCTTTTCTAATATTCCAAGATAGTGGCTTGAAAATTGTTCCAGTGCGACTTTCTCCGCAGTTCCATCGTTCAAAAACGAGAATTGCCGTACATGCATCGCCTATCGAGAAATCGACCACTGTATAAACTGCTACCGCGCCGCGAGCGCTTGTGCAGATAATTTTCGCTCGTTGATTAAATTTTGAAGTTGGAGCGCGCCGCCATCACGTTTTCATTCGACGATGCAACAACAACGAAATTAATTAATAAGACCGTATAAATGGAGAAAATATAATAATCGAGGTTTTTTCCGCTGTCGACTTGAATAACAGGGGATAAAGCGAGGTACGCGAGGAAGAACCGAGCGCATATCGGGGATTGAATAATTTAATGTCGCCGGAGCACCCGGAAGCTGCCAGTAAAATCGACAGAAGCGAGCTGGAATCGTGTAATATCACGAGCCAACGTACATACATACAGGCCGTAGGAATAGAAAAGCGCGGAGAACCGGCGAAGGCGACGCGGCGAGAGAGAGAGAGAGAGAGAGAGAGCACGCGACTACTCGCGGCGCGCGCGCGTGGTCAATGTCACTGAACCCACGCGACTGGCTTTTCAATAAGATGCATGCGCCGCGCGCGATCCTGCACTCGAGACCGCGGAATTCGCCGACGACGTGCTAATGGCCGCTGCTTTTCACAATAACGCTGTCGCTTGTCTGCCGCCTCTCTCCTGCGCGCTCTTTTTCTCCTCGCTTTACACGGTTAGACTCCGCGCCTGCTAATTTCCCAAGCTCGCCCGCGCGCGAGCCTCGTCCTTAGCCAGTGGCACACGCTTCCTTTGCCTCTCTCGCCTCTATGCGGATGCGATAATTTATTTGGAAATAACTTATAGCCCGTCAGTCCGTCAAATCGGTCTGTCTTATTTAGGTCCTTTTAAATTCTAAATATCCATAGCGCAATAAAGAACTGTGCTACGCGCGTCGTCGAGGCAGACCGAGCAAATGTGAAATATGCAAATACTTGGATTTCTAATTTCAACTTTCCAAATTATACAACGCATTTTTCAATTTCTCACTAATACCTTTGTCATATTTTCAAACGTAACTTGAGTTTCAGTGGAACAGAAAAAAAAAAGAGTATCTCAGCAACGTATGAAATTAGAGAATAAAATATTGAGCAAAAACGTCGGAAGCACGCGTACGTATAGAGAGGTGAGGAAAACAAAGGGGAAAGGGGCACGACTTAATCAATGC